TGACTTGCAAAATAAAGGCGTGGAAGAATGAGGACTGTGTCAGGACCTGTAAATAGCTGCCCTGTGTGATAAGCCAATGAAGCAGAGGGGACAGCTCCTCAGTAAAGGAGTTTCAAGCACTGGACTGATTCCTTTCATTCAGGATGACCATTGGTTCCTTCTGGACAGAAGGGTTTTCTTTTCCATCTGAACCTTGTTTGAACAATACATTTTTCCTGGCAACTGATGCATCCTTGGTTGCTTCTAATTTTGATTGATATTGAAAGTTGTCAACTAACCACAGTTCCCTAAATACAGAAAACTGGATTGTTTTAACTATAATTAGTTAACAAATTAGAATATCAAACCATGGTTTGATCCTGGTTTGTTTGAATCAACCAGAATTAGGGAGGGGGGAGACACAGTATCCTGTGTTTTGATGTCAGATGGAACTGTGGTTAGCTTAAAGGCAAAAGCACAAACTTCATCTTTAATCATATGTGAGGGAATTCAGGAACAGCACATGAGTCCAAGGCTTGCATACACCAAATCTCCTAATGACAAGCCATGGTTTTCCATAATGCTTGAACCAAGAGAGTGAGTCTGTGTCTATTAGCCACGTGAGAAGCAAACACCAATACAGATACATCACTTTTCAAAACTTTCTCCCTGCCAAGGAAAATGTTCTTATGCCTTTTTAAATGTGGAGCTGAATTATGTGTTAAGTGGCAGATGGGGTGATTTGGGGCACATAAATGTCATGTGGGTAAGAGATCTTGAACCCTCCTACCTGCTACTGCTCTCCCTATAATTCCCTCTTCTGCCCCACCACTTTTCTTTCATCCAGTTTCACTCCTGATACTGGAGTCAGGCTTTCGGTGGAAATTACCTGAAGGAAAAGTGGGAGGTGATGGGGATTTCAATACCCCTTCACCCATATATCTGTAAATTGCAATTCCACCTACAGCTATATATGGGATTGGGGGGAAGCAATCATTAAAAGCAGGGCTGGCCCAAGACATTTTGCTGCCCGAGGCAAAGGACAAGATGGCACCTCCCTCATTGCAACTGGACTGGCAGCTAAATCTTACTTCAAAACTGGCATTAGCAGTGTCCTCAGCTATTCTTGGGGGCAGCTGGTTCGCTTGGAGGCCAAAAGGCAGGCCGCACAGCACACATAGCTGTGTCCACCAACACCTTGTTGCCACTTGTTCCCCAATATCTACCACCTGAAGTCTCCACCTCACTATGCCTAACAGTAGGGGTGGCACTCTTTCAAAGACAGACGTACAGTGGTACCTCGGCTTAAGAACTCAATTCATTCCAGAGGTCCGTTCTTAACCTGAAACTGTTCTTAACCTGAGGTACCACTTTAGCTAATGGGGCCTCCCGCCGCCACCATGCCGCAACCACACAATTTCTGTTCTCATCCTGAAGCAAAGTTCTTGACCTGAGGTACTATTTCTGGGTTAGTGGAGTCTGTAACCTGAAGCGTCTGTAACCCGAGGTACCACTGTATGCTACTTTTTGCAAGTGGTTTGGCCACAGGAAGAAAAGTGACAAACCTATTACTATTTTAGAAGTTCAGTGCTGCTTACAACCTACAATGTTGAATAGCTATCTTTAATTATATTCTAATAGAAAGACCTCTCAGGTAAGCTTAGGTTATCTGTGTTATTAAAAATCGCTGCTGGCGTTGTACATCATTTATATGATTATTCAGAAATCTGTTATCTATAGATAGGAAAGTAGCCTTAGGATATATTTACACTTTTTAAAACAACAACAATCTCCCTTCCAAAATATTTTGAGAACTACAAACTTCTCTATGTCCAGACAGGGACACTGACTTAAGCATCTCTCCCCTCCCCCTCCCCCACCCCCCATCTATAGGAAAATCTAGAAAAGGAGCATTATCCAGTCCAAGTTAGGAGTCTTAAGTTCTTATTGGGAGAGATTTGGAGTATGCTCAGCTCTCTCACTAAAATCAATGAGACTTAACAGTGCTGAATGCTGGCTGGCTTATCCTGGCCAAATGGCTAATTTCTGATATACAGCATGATACTGTGCATATCTACTCAGAAGTAAGCCCTATTAAATTCATTGGGATTTACTCTTATGTCATCGTGCACAGAGTTGCAGACTCTTGATTTCTTTCAAGCCACTTTAGCTTCGATATAGGTTGCAGTCAGGGTTAAACTGCAAGCATAATTACACAGGAGTAAGCCCAAGAGAGGGACGCAGGTGGCACTGGGGTTCTTAAACACAGAGCTAGGACTTGCCAATCAAGAAGGTCGGCGGGTTCGAATCCCCACGGATGGGTGAGCTCCCATTGCTCGGTCCCTTGCTCCTGCCAAGCCTAGCAGTTCGAATAGCACCTCAAAGTGCAAGTAGAATAATAGAACCGCTCCGGCGGGAAGGTAAACGACGTTTCCTTGCGCTGCTCTGGTTCCGCCAGAAGCGGCTTAGTCATGCTGGCCACATGACCCGGAAGCTGTTACGCCGGCCCCTCGGCAATGAAAGCCAGATGAGCACCGCAAACCCAGATCTGCCATGACTGGACCTAATGGTCAGGGGTCCCTTCACCTTTACCTTTAAGCCCAAGAGACTCTATGCACTTTTGAGCAAATATGCATTGGATCGGGCTACCCCCCACCCCAAATAATAATTCAGGAGTGGAAGTCAGAGCCATCCAAATCAATGGGCAGGATGGGCAGGAATCTGTCTTCCCCATGTCTTCCCCATGTTTCCAGACCGCATCATAGAATCATTGAATCTTAAGAGTTGGAAGGGACCCCAAGGGTCATCTAGTCCAACCCCTGTAATGCAGGAATCTCAGCTAAAGCATCCATGACAGATGACCATCCAACCTCTGCTTAAAAACCTCCAAGGAAGGAGAGTTCACCACCTCTCTTATATCTTTGCTAACTACGGCTGCACACTCCCCCATACATTTAAAGCACATTTGTCGAGGGTGCTGGAGTTCCTACAGTTCCCAGTGCTCTTTGGGGGGACGCCATGTGCTTTAAATGTATGGTGCGTATACAGCCTTAAAAAAAGGCAGCAAAAGTTCCAGCAAATTTTCCAAAAATATATTAATACTGAGTGAAGAAATATCCCCCCTCTGCTTTACTCGCCTCGTTCATAAGGATGTGAAAGTGGGGAGTTGGAGGCAGAGAGAGAATTCAGGCGATTTGAGGGGGAGCCAAAATTGTGGGGTGCAAAATTCATCACTGCAAATTCACTGAAGTCCCTCTAGTCATTTGGTAGCTGCCACTCTTTTCACTCAAAAGTTCCCAGAGTGTGACGGCATCATGTCGTTCTTATGGGCATGTTTGGAAAAGGACAGCTGGGCCCCATTTACACTATATGTTTAAACTCTATTACAGTGGTACCTCAGGTTAAGTACTTAATTCGTTCCAGAGGTCCGTACTTAACCTGAAACTGTTCTTAACCTGAAGCACCACTTTAGCTAATGGGGCCTCCTGCTGCTGCCCCGCCGCTGGAGCCCGATTTCTGTTCTCAATCTGAAGCAAAGTTCTTAACCTGAAGCACTATTTTTGGGTTAGCGGAGTCTGTAACCTGAAGCGTATGTAACCTGAAGTGTATGTAACCTGAGGTACCACTGTATACCAATTTAAACCATCATGTCTTCCCCCCAAATAATTCTGGGAATGGTAGTTTGTTAAGGATGCTGAGCAGTGCTGTTTTTCTAGAAAAAGAGGTACAGGAACTCACCATAAACGCCTCCCTTGTTCTCTTATAATGGCAATGGCGCCCATCTGTGAGGTGCCAGAACTGAGTTCCGGCGATTTCTGGCTGGAAAAAAGCACTGATGCTGAGAGTTATTAGGAGACCCCATTCCCCACATACAGCTACAGTTCTCATAATGACTTAGCAAGCAATCCTCCTTCCCAAGGAACTCTGGGAATTGCAGCTATGTGAGGGGAATATTGGGTAGATAGGGCTCGGCACTAAAACATTTTATTAAGGTTTGAGATTGACAATAATAACAATAATTTCAATAAAATCTAAGAGCAGGCTTTTGGACTTTGCCATGGCCCTGCCCCCAGCCCAGCCCACATTGAAATCTTTTATCTCATCTTCCTCCTGCTACGGACCCTAGACATGGTGCTGCAAAACAAAATTTCACATAATATTTTCAGTGAGTAAGTTAAGCGGACAAATAAAACATGGACTTTAAAATGAATAAGTAAATTTTGGCTAATTCAGTTGATCCAACTGTTTTTTGGTTTAGTGAATGCAAGATACATGTCACAGTGGCATGAGTCATCCTTTTTGGCACCATAACTAAACTGTTTTGGATCAGTCACTACTGTTTCTTTAAGCCTGGCCTTACCTCAGAATATTCCAGCAGTAAAATCTAATATGTTAGTCATTTCATTGTAAAGAACAGGAAATACCGTAATTGTTTTGAATGTTTTCAGAATGCAAAGTGACATGGATTTCACTAGTTAATTTTAAGATAGTATTAGCTTGGGGGGGGAGACCCTTGCCCCCAGGTTTTATATTTTTACTCACTCTTTCACTGCAGTCTGGAATGAGCTCTGAAAATATGCTTAGAGAGTAGCTAATAAAGAACAATATCCAGGAATAATTTGTTCCACAGGAAGAATAAAAAGTTAAGCAACTTTAGCTTTCTTTTCTAAATGTTTCTGCCAAGCAAATTTAAAAAATTCAGAGAGGATATTAGCATTGTACCCAAATGACTGCAGACCCATTGACTGGTTCATTTTGATTTGACATGGTTTCATTTCCTTTCTGACCAGATAAATCAGGCTTCCTCAACTTCGGCCCTCCAGATGTTTTTGGCCTACAACTCCCATGATCCCTAGCTAGCAGGACCAGTGGTCAGGGATGCTGGGAATTGTAGTCTCAAAACATCTGGGGGGGCGAGGTTGAGGAAGCCTGAGATAAATATTTAGGGCAGCATTAAAATACTTTCCTACAACTAGTGTCTCATAGCTAGTAAGTTTCCCTGTTATCAGCCCAGAAAGGGAATGAATTATTTACTACCACATTGCCAGTGACTATATATTGTGAAGTTTTAGCAATTTCAAAAGAGTATAAACAGTATTTACGATTGATGTCTCATTTTTTCCTGCTAGGAAGCAAGAAAGGCAGCAAGCTTAATGGTAAAGTGGTACCAGGATCATCCCCAAGGATCTTCAGGTAGGGCTGGGAATGAAACCCTGGACGATACTGTGTGGAGAATACGGAACTAACTAGATGAACCAACTGTCTGCCTTTGTTTAACACAGCCTCATTTGTTACTAAAGAGGGGCCATTGCGGTAGTTGAGCACCTGCCCTATTGGTCCTCGTGCCTCTCTACTTTTCCTGGGTGTCTCCCAGCTGCTTCCCACTTCCTTCCAGAACATTGCGTGGAGACCTCATTTGAGACAGGCGACTGTTCTCAGGTATGTGGTTTACATGCCAAAAAACGCACTCCACTTTCAACCCTTTTCAGGGTCTTTTGAAGATGGCCATAGATGGTTCGGTCGCTGGCTTCTCAAGTCAACAGAATCTTCTATGGATCAGAAAGACACCTGGAATCCTCTTTTACATGTCCTCTGCAGACGAATTCATCCTGAATTCTGGGGAAGGATTGTAGCAACTGGTTTGCATGAAGAAACTTCCAAGGTTGAGGCCCTGGCTTTTCCAGGTAGGTCTGGGAAGGTCCCCTGCCTGAAACACTTGCAAAGCCACAGCCAGTTAGTACTGAGCTAGAGTGACCTAGGGCCTGACTCCATATAAGTGTCATGGATTTGTTGGACGCAACAGAATGGTGGGAGGAATCAGCTGGGGAAACTCCAAGGGATGAAGGCTCAGAGTCCAGGATGGGACAACGGTGAGTGGACAGAGGGAGAAGAGGGAGAAGATTAGGAGGAGGAGGTGTCAGAAGCTGAAGAGGTTACAGGGCTTAGTGAGCGAAGGGAGTATATGGCAGAGAGAGTCCAGAATCAGAGGCAGAAGCTGATGTCGGCATGCAGAGGGTCACAAGGCCAGCTGGCTAGCCCCAGCTGGGTCGTCTCCTTCCAGCCGTCCCGCTGCGAAGACCCATCACTGTCTGCTCTGATGTAAATCAGCGACCCAGGCTTCAAAGCCAGGGCACACTATGTCAGCAGAGCAAACTGCACACACAGAATAGGCGTGAGGCTTGTGGGAACATACTACAACTACGGATTTATTAATCATAAATCAGGACAAAGAAACATGTCGTCCCACTCTTTGTCTTCTCAGAGAGACAGGGAAAAGCAAAAGCCATACACACAACGGAAGTTCCCAGCATACTGTGCTGGAATGTAAACAGACATGTGACACGTAACAATCCCATGTCTGCTCCTTAAAGTGGAATAGAAATTCTCAACAGCTGAAGCAGGAAAGGAGGGAGGCCAAGAGACAAAGATGAGTCTGGCTGGTGAAGAGGTGCTGGAGTCTCTCCCTCCTGCTGTGACAAGCTCCCCTCCCCTCTGGTCTCCAAGAACCAGGAGAGGCATGAAAAGAGGAGGGGAGAAGTTAGCTGCACACTGGCACAGTTCCAGATTGCTTAGGGAAAACCCTGGAGAGGAGGGGATTTAGTCAGCTGTGGGGAGGCAGGGACCTTCAATCTCTGCTTCATGGAGGCAAAACCAGTTGGAGAGGAGTTGCTGCCTCCATAGACCTGACACTCCTGTGCGGATCCTGTTTTTGCTAATAGTTAAGTCCAACTTGCTCTGTGAGATTTACTGCTGGCTTTCTCCTGTCAATAAGGCAACTCCCTATGTTGCATATTGGCTTCCTGCTTGAGCTACACAAAGACTTACGGGTGGCACACACTGTTTCAACAACATTTTAATATGAATCAGCTCCACAAGATGTGTCACTTCTAAAACTATTTTTCATTTTTGCATGTTATGTTCCTCCCCCCCCCCGGCCCCCTCCATTTCATTAGAGGAGTCTCTAATTGGAATCTGAAAATACGTCATAACCTAAGTGACCCTCCTTAAATCAAGCAGAAAGATGGTTGCGTAATCTGAGGTGTTGAGGCATGCTGATTTTTTTCTTAATCAATGCTCTGCAAACTAGACTTTTAAAGTTGACAACTTATCGATAAATTAAAAAAGAAAAATCCAGAGTTTCCAACACCATCTGATCTCTTTGAAGCAGCTAGAATGCCGGAATAAATTATCTCAAAGAATTCCAGTATTTATACTGAGATCAGTCTGGGGAAATGGATCCAAAAAATTATGTGAGGGACAAATCCAGGGCAGATGATGGTGCTTTCAAATCAGGGGGGAAACTATTCTAAAGGAAACCAGAGTTTTCATGGCATCTAAAAGTGAAAGGGAAGCAGTATTGTGAAACTAGCAAAAAGCATAAGAAGTTTCTTCTGTAGAAATAGACCTTTATACCAGCTCTATAATTCTATGATTCCAGAGCTGTGCTCTCGCTCCAGCTCTGTTTGACATATTATTCTATATTCTTCTCTCTGTTGCTTCCACATGCCTTCAACTCAACTGACAATGGGGTGTTCAAGGAGTGATGGGAGTCGATTCAACCTGCCATGTCTCCATGCCAAGACAAAAGTGTGGTGGGTTATTATCTGAGAGTGACTGCAGACAGTCAGGTTGTGTATCTACAGCAGTGACTGGAGGAGGAATGACCACTGGGAGGAAAACACCATTGTGCATCTTCAGCAGCACAACCAGATGCCTTCATCTGTTCCAGCTGCAAGAAAACAAGTCTCTCCCATATCAGTCTCTACAGCCACAGCAGGCGCTGTAAGTCTCCAATGGTTTGACTTCACCTCCAAAGGCACAAACTCTTCCACTGTGTCCCAAGATGCCAACCAACCAGTGATCCTAGATGCCCTGGCCAGCATGCAAATCATAGACTGAAAGTACATTTGCACATTTCCCCTCAAAGAATCCTGGGGGACTTTAGTTTGCATCTCACAAAGTTACAATTATCAGCACCCCTAAACTACAGTTCCCAGGATTATGTGCTTTTATGGGCATGTGTGCAGTCTTGCCCGATATCCAAATATTGTTTGGTTCAAAACGAAGGCAGACCCAAGTTGCCTTGGAATCAAGAAGCAGGATGATTACCCCATTGAAAGGAAGTTCCAGCTTGAATCTCTCTCCAGAAGAAGAAGAAGAAGAAGAAGAAGAAGAAGAAGAAGAAGAAGAAGAAGAAGAGGAGGAGGAGGAGGAGGAGTTTGGATTTGATATCCCGCCTTTCACTCCCTTTAAGGAGTCTCAAAGTGGATAACATTCTCCTTTCCCTTCCTCCCCCACAACAAACACTCTGTGAGGTGAGTGAGGCTGAGAGACTTCAAAGAAGTGTGACTAGCCCAAGGTCACCCAGCAGCTGCATGTGGAGGAGCAGAGACGCGAACCCGGTTTCCCAGATTATGAGACTACCGCTCTTAATCACTCCACCACACTGGCTCTCAAGAAACTCCTACTTGAATCTCCCATGTCTATTCTCTGGTTTTGAAAACATTTGGTCACAGTTGTCAGGAAGAGCCATGTAGCCAAAGAGAGAAAGGACAGACCAACCAGCTAATCACAGACAACGAGGCAAATGAGGTTTTCCAATCCCATGCAAATGCAGGGAGAATGACTTCATATTTTCTCTATGGCCGTGAACACACATTCTACCTACGACCCTTGTGTAAGATAGGCTTCCTACACAGGAAACTGAACTTACTCATATAACATCTGGAGGTTTGCTAACAGTGGTAGGGGGAAGGGTTGAGGCTTAAGGAAAGATGGAGCTGGTCTAATTAAGCCGGCCAAATTTAAGAAATCCAGCCAATTTCCATTAAAGGCGTCTTAAATTATGTCATCACCAATTTAGAGCTTCTAAAATTAAGATAAGTTAATGCATGTGACAATAGGTCACCAGTGATTCAATAACTCTTCTGCTGCCTGCCTGGGACTGCGAAAAGAGGCACACCAGTCAAATTGTTGTGCAAGCCTATCCAATAGGCCAATTCAATGGAAGTTGTACCATGCAATGCCCCAGGAAGGGAATAATGCTTGAATGAGACCTAACTGCAGCAGACTGCACACACTTGCCACTTTGCGATTGCAAAGTCTTGTGACAATCTGGCAATTAAAAGCTACTCTTAATGGAAAAGAACGCCGTCGGATAATGGCTTCCTGCCGTTAAATAGATATCGTGGCAAAGTTGTGGTATTAACAGAAAGTCAACATGAAGACAAAGCCAGGAGATTTATTTTCAGAGTCAGTATCCTGGATCCTGATATTCTCTTGCAATTGCTTTGCATATTTCTATTTTACTACATGACTGATGAAAATGGAATTATTTTTGCCTTGATGTATGTTGGTGCAGCAAAGTGACAGTTGCTCATCTTACCGTTACTGAATAGCTGCACTCTGCTTGGCTGAAGGAAAGAGATTTATGTTGTGGTTCATCCAATCAGAAAGCAGCTAATCCATTTAAGCATGGCCTGTATATTTTATTCACCATAATAGTATTGCTGTTAAGAAAGGAAGGCCTGATGTTTCTGGTTTCTAGGTAGCCTCCGATAAGAAGTTTATAAACTCATAAGTAAAAGAGGAGAAACTCTATATCCACCATACTTGCCACATTCCAGTTGGACATCTCCAGAAACAACTTAACGTTGTGTTTTCGACTGATAAAACCCTGAGGATGGAATCCTATGTTTGCTTATTGTGGGGGGGGGGGTTCGTTGAAAAAGACTGGGTTGCATCCAGAGTGCAGGGACAAGTATGCAAAGGGAATTTCTTCATCCCTTCCTCTCCAGTGCAGAGTGCTGTACCCCAAAAAACTTCCTGGGAGTCAGGGGGGCTTCTCCTGGGCAGTGGGAGTGCTGGCGGCAGTGGGGAGAGGAGAAGCAGGGCAAACTGGGTAGAGACAGGTTAAGAAGCCAAGAAAAGATTTCTGAAGATCAAGCCAGCACTAGAGACTCAAGAAGAAAGCCGGCTGGTGAGGAATCAAAGGACCAGGCTTCGAAAGGGTTAGGTCCAAAGTACATACCTAAGACACACTGAAGAGTGCACTTTTAATGGCATGTACGAAATGCCATTTTCAGTGGCTAGCCCACAATTACGGAACTTAGCAATGCATCAAAATGGACTGATGCTGTCATGTGGAGGTAGCTTAGGATAGCGTCAGACTGCTGCAAAGTATAGCACCCGATCATCATGCGATCTGTCATCTGGCTTAGAAAGTTTCCACAAAAGGCCATCTGCTACCAGGAACAGATTTATCTCTTTTAGCTGGGGGATGAGTATATATTAATCTCCCATTTATGTTCCTAGGCCAAGTCCCACCATAACGGAGGCAGGTTGCAGGGCTCAAACCTGGGTTCGTGTGACGCCCTGGTTCAGAGCCAAGCAGCCTAGAAATCAGTGGATCGTTACATGATAAAAATGCATGCTGGATCTGCTATGAAACCGTTGCAGATAAAGAGTCCCCGGTTGAAGGATTCTGTGCTTTATCTTATCACTCCTCCCAATAGTGAACAAATCTTGTGAGTACCAATAGGGAAACAGCCCAAACAGGCGACTGAGACGCAAGAGGCAAGTAACAGCATGATCAAGGGAGCCCCAAGTTCTGCAGAAGTAGAGGGGATTTGGGGGAGGGAGAAATCTTAGGGGGCATCTTAGGGAATCTTACACTCAGTAAGAACTGAGTGTGCTCCGTGGGGACAGAATGTTTGTTGTGAGGAAATGGAAATCTAAGGGCAAGTGGGGATGGAATGGAGTATTCTAGGAAAGGGCATTAAAGGGCATCATCATCATCAATTAAATTTCAATACCGTTCTTCCTCCAAGCATAGCAGGGCGGCTTAAAATATAAAGGCACAAAAATGCATAGCATAGTAACAAACAAAAACAACTCTCTCTCCCCTCCCTCAAGTTTAAAAGGCCCTAGATCATGACCTTAGTTTATTCCACGTTTGTCAGATGGACCTTAATTAATGAGAGTAAAAGTAGCTTGCTGTACCGTTGTTAAGAAGTTGCATGTGATTGCTTTAAAAAGGCTTGTGCCATGTGCCTCAGCTAATCATAAAGCAGCTTACTTTAGAAATGTGTTCTTTTAAAATAAAAAATAAGAAAGAGTTCTGAGCTTTTGAAAGCAAACTAGCTTTGGATTGGTTCGAGTTCTGCTTTAACTTTAATCAGTAATTAAGGGTCAGCCATCCAGTAAACTCATTAGTTTACACCAATTACATTGGGTATAGTAACTAATGATTCCGAGGATCATGCCACTTATTTCCAAGCTTTCAAAGTATAATTATGGTGTAAATCAGATAGAGCGTAAATCTTTTCCATACGTTTTGGTTGGTAATTGAGGGATAAAATGGTTTCCAAATGTATTCTCCCCCCCCCCCACACCCAACTTTTCGTTTTTTGTTCTGCAATAGATTTCTCCTGGGACTCTTTAAAGGATACGGAAAAGGTGATGTCAACAGCACTATATGCTGGGCAAATGGAGACAGGACTAATTAATAGAGATACAAAAGAAAATATTTCCCCTTTCAAATTTTGGGTTCAGACATTAAACGCAAGCGTTGCACCGCAGTCCTGAGATGAAGGAAAGCAGGTCAGTGAACACCTAAGTTTCATCCCTCCCTCCCACCAAAAAATAGATAGGTAGGTGAATTTTAAAATCTGTTATGTGTAATGCATAACTGCTAATGCCACTGCTCCTGCTTTTAAAATGATTTAGTCTCTGGAGCATTTCCCTTTGAAGTTTAATATGTAGTTTCATGTCTGCACAACATTTTCAATGCATTAAACAAATTAGTCTCTGGTTACAAAAGTTTTTCGACGTTTTCAAGTTGCCACTTAACTAAATCCATTATGTGTCAACGAAGCTGATCATTTAAAAGAGCGAACTTTTCGGAATGATTAATAAATAAAACAGCTTCTCTCAACCTAAGTGTTTACTTGAAAGCAATCCACTTTAGAAAGACATTAATATCCCTCGAATTATTATTAGAATAATTGCTTTTACTCGTCTTAGAACAACACACTTTCCCCTCCTCATTTCCCTTCAGCTCAGACAGCTTTTCACTCAGATGGAAACTTCCTATTATTTGTCCCCAACCCACCCCCGCCCAGCAAAATGAAGAATAGGAATTATACACTTTTCACTAAGGAATAATTAATATGTCTCAAGTATTAGAAGAGAGAATTGCAGTGTGACTTTGAATGGTAGCCTCTGAGGAGTAGCATTGTTTGTTCTCTCCGGTCTTTAATGAGCTTTAGTAAATGGCCAGGAAAAATTACCTTCTTTCTGTAATATGAGAGAAGTGAAGAATGAAGGGAAGCTATAGAATCCCTAAGAGAAAAGCAGGCAGAGCTTGGCAAACATATACGCCCGATTTTACGGCTGTGCTTCTCTCTCTATACCGTGGGTTTTTCTTTTTGGGCTGTGGTCCCCAGATAAATTTCTCACTCCTACTGCAATTAAAACATAAAGAATTATTTTTTTAACGTTCGTACATCACCAAATGAAACAGAATCCCACCCACCCCACTACCCCATGGCTTTCCTCAATATGCTGACAGGATCTGGCTTGTGTTGGGGGACAATTACATTTGGCTGAGTGCTTGGGAGTCTTTTTTTTCTTGTAAAAGTCTGTAAAAGTTTCTGTTTCCTTGCTTATTTTCATATTCGGAACCT